TTTGTTTTCGAATTTGTCATTGTGTTTTCTGACTTGTTATAATGTTTTCTGAATTGTTGTTGTGTTTTCTGAATTGTTATTTTGGTGTATAGACTTGCATTTGCATTTGTAATTTGTTATTTTGTTTTCAGAATTGTGATTTGTTTTGCACTTCTCGGCCACCGTAGGTTTCTTTCAGTTTTACAAAAAATTCTTAATATAATAATTATGATACTTCTAATTGGTTACACAGATTGGCGCTTTATAAACACGAGTATACTTCGTACCGCTTTCCAAGTAAACTCGTACTAACCTGTTGGCTGGTATACCAATACAGTGTAGGACCTTTCAGGACGAACCAAAATCTCTGCCATTTCTGAGTCATAAAGACGTTTGTTTCTTTTCTCTTCTTCCAAAGCCATCCGTCACAGTCTGGGCGGCCAAGTTCACGACACGACACCCTCCTGCGGCTCATCGCTGTCCGTGTTCCTTAAGTGTACATATGTATAAGGGTAGTGTCATTATTTTGCACTGGATGAAATAAGGTGTCCTAGAAAAAAATACTGTGAAAATAATGAATGAACAAATCCATGCCTGACCTTTAGTAGAGCTCTTTTTGTTCTCCTTTTCCTCCTGCGGTAAAAATAAATTTATAATTACTTTGAGATCACAAGGTTTAAAGAAGTCTTTCTGCTGATTTCATCAGATTGCCACATTAGAAACACTTTATTGTGAGATGCCCCAACAGATGCATCTCAATGACTCACGGCACTCAAGTTCATCATGCTCAAGAGCAGAAGTGGGACAAATCATTATAGTATCTCTCCAAAATGCTTTTTGACTACAAAAGTGTACTGAGTTGTATGTCGTACCAAATTAATATTTATAAATGTTATAAAGGTTTTTTGTTCTTACTCTTATTCCTGCCATGTCAGGACAGGAGCTTGTGCTGGCTCGGTTGAGCTCTGAGCTTTGTGGGGATGGACTACTTTCTGCACATGAACCTATTTCCAAACTCTTTCGACTTGCACGCTGAGAGTCTATAAAAGTGAAGACAGATTTAAACATTTTAGTGAGCTACAAGATGAAATCAGAGCTGTAAATGTCTGTAAGCTAAGCAACAAATCGATATGCTCAGCAACAAAGAATACCAAAGAAACTATGGGCGATGAAAAGACTAGCTTAAAGTAGAATCAATTAAAGTGCTGGTCCAGGCTATTTTATGTTGTTTATATATAAATATAGCTAACGAACAATATTTTTTTCTTTCTTCAGGACATACTTGGGCCAATTTTCGATTTCTATATATGAAGAGTTCAGATACAAAAGCCTCTAAGTACGTCTGACGTTTTTCTTTAAAATTAGCATTTCTTTCTGGCTACTATGTATAGGTTTTTATGTAAGTACTGGTACTTCTGAATGGGTTGAGGCTGGGATTTAGTGCATTTGAAGTGAAAGTACTTGAACATATACTATGTGTGGAGAGCATTCACTCAGTATCATTATCTCATTTTTGACCAAGATGGCTTTTAGAGGCTTTTGCATTGGAACTCTTTGTCAGGCCTGTGTTCCTGTCTCTTGTGTTTTGTTCCCCAAGTTCTAGTTCTCCCTCGTGTTTCCTTATGCCCATATTTGGTTTGGTTTCCTGTTCTGTTTGTCTCATTATTAGTTGATTCCTCGCACCTGTCTGTCCCTCGTTAAGTTTAGTATAAATGTGTAGTCTGCCTCATGTTTTCTTGTCGAGTCTTAAACGTCATGTGTGTCTCCTGTGCTTCCTATGTTAGTGGTCCTTTTCATTTGGTTTGTTTATTAAAAGTCAAGTTTTGAACGTCATCTCCTCGTTTCCCTCCTACGCACTGTGACAGAAGACTCGACCACAAAAAGATGACTGCAGCTGAGGACGCCCTTTGGGGCTTTGCAGGGCGGTTTGAGGTTGGACCGATATGTGGAGGGTTTTCTCGAGCTCTCTAACCGGGTGAGCTGGCACGATGCCGTTCTATGTGCGTGCTTCCTGCTGGGGTTGGATGACGAGATAATCCGCTGCGATCTTCCGACGTGTGATTTTTTTTTTTTTATTTTTTTTTTCTCTGATCGAGCTGATTAATCTCGTGCTGTTCTTAAAGGGGTCATATGATACGATTTCAATTTTTCCTTTCTCTTTGGAGTGTTACAAGCTCTTGGTGCATAAAGAAGATCTGTAAAGTTGCAAAGACTAGTTTGCAAGTTTCAAATCCAAAGAGATATTCTTTATAAAAGTTAAGAGTCAGCCACACCTACCTAAAACGGCTCGTTCTAACACGCCCCCACATATCTACATCACTATGTGGGAAGATTTGCATAACGCCGCCCAAATGTTCACGCAAAAAAAGAAGGCATAACTTTTATTATTGCTGTAGTTTTGTTGTTGCCGCCGCCATGTTGTAAAGACGATGTTTGCTTTGTTGTGAAAGCGAAACGACTTTGTTTGGTCTTCCAAAAGAGGATGATATCTGCTTCGTCATGCCTGGAGCTGATCCGTGCTGGTTGCTGAGGAAATACTACAACTTTGCTCTGTGGATCGGCTTTCACCGTGGACGAAGCGGAGTCTAGCCCGGAGTCATCACATGTGGTTGCTGCAAGCTCCCGTTCTCAAGCCCACCTGCCTCTGCTCACTCTAACGCCTGTTTCACACATACTCCATCTGCAGTGCGTATGCGGTCCGAGTGCATTACGTATGCAGTGCAGAAGCAGCACGGACTCATTGTGCTTTCACACAGGAAGCGTTTGCAGTCCGCTCACGATCCACGGCTGTTTAACACAAACACAACATTTATCTGTTATTTGATTTCAAATCCAAACATAGTTAGCCTATAGTGAAAGTGTTTTTTCAGCATTGTGATCCTCTTTTATCACAGTACAGTTACACAATCTTTCAGACATATTCACGTTTAAACTCAATTAATATAAACGGCGTATTAAATGCATTTGGCTTCTAGATTTGTATATTAAGTTGCTCAAGCAAGTGGAAACACATTTGAACACAGCATATAGCTTTCTTGTGTTAGGTTATCACAAATATTTTAAATTAAACCTTACCATTGACAGAAACAGTCGGCTCTCGTGCTGTTTACATTTAAATCTTTATTACAAACAGTCCCGCGGGTCTTAAAGAACTTTGTTTTTCTACCTCCACAAGACACAAGTGCATGTTGCCTTGTTTATCTAAAAGTGCACTTTTATTTGTTTCAAACCTAGCCAAAAAGCCTGTCAAACACAGTAGACTTTAATTATATCTGTTTATTGTGAAATTACTACATTTCAGTCTCAATCCATGTTCATTTTTACCGCGAACAAAGCGCTGTCACTTTAATTCAGCGCGTGCAGCACGGCAAAAATAGACTAGGTGCGTAAACGATCGCTGCACTGCTGCAGACACACCACACCTGGAACGCACTGATGGACCGCAACCACGTGCATTGTGAAAGCTTAATCCGTTAACATGGGGGCGTAAAAAAAAAAAAAACCCGCACTGCAGATGGAGTATGTGTGAAACAGGCATAACCCTCCGGCCGTTCTTCACACTAGCCCCCGGCCTCTGCTCACTGTAGGCCGCCGTGTGTGATGCTGTTTCGTTGTGAAAGCGAAACTACTTTGTTTGGCCTTCCAAAAATGGACACGACTAGAAATCAGTGGTTAAGTTGTATTTACAACACTGTTCCAAAACACATCAACCCAAACATTCAGATGTGTGCAGCACATTTTATGGAGGACTGTTTCCTGATCCTGGGAGAGTAGACTACAATGCCGGCTGTTCTGACTCAAAGACTGTAAGTACGTTTTTTATATTTAAAGAGTTTTTATATTTTATATATTTAAAGCGAGTTTTTTGGGCAGTGTAGAGTAGGGCTTGTTGTTTGTAATTTCTCTGATCACAAATGCAGACATGGTTTTATGTTTACGCGGCGCGATGCAATGCAATCCGTAAAAAGACAGTATAAGTCATTATAATCCATAATTATGTCCCCACTGGATGCAACGAATGTCTCGTTTATAATGGGTTTATGTTTTTGAATCATTGCTCCAGCCTGACAGGGCATCATCACAGTATGGTGAGGGACGTAACATTTCCGTCTCACGCTTGAGGTATTCGGCCAATCACAACGCACTGGATAGCTGGCCAATCACAGCACACCTCGCTTTTTCAGACCGATGAGCTTTGTAAAAATCTATGCGTTTCAGAAAGGTGGGGCATAGAGGAGAAACAATAATGTACAGTATGTGGAAAATGTTTTTTGAACCTTAAACCGCATAAACACATTTCATTACACCAAATACACAAAATAATGTTATTTTTAGCAGCATCATATGACCCCTTTAAATGGATCAGATTTGGAAGTTGAAGTAAACTTTCCAAGCTTTGTCATCGAACTCCCGCTGGAATGCGCCGCGTCTCCCCAGCTCACCCCACGCCGAGAACCTCCACATACCTCTCCAACAGCTCCTACCGCCTGCCTAACCCCAAATTCTCCACTGTCCTCCGAAGCTCCACCCTAGTCGTCAGCCCAGTACGACCGGCCTTTCCGATGTCAGGCCCACCGGCCGCTACGAAGTCAAGCCCGACGGCTGCGGCTCACTTCGGCCCACGGGCCGCTACGAAGTCAAGCCCGCCGGCTGCCCATTTCCCCCGTAACCAAAGGAGGAGGATGAACAGAAAAGGACTGTTATCTGCCTTCGTCCTAGCCCCAGAGCTCGCTACAGTGTCGGCTCCAGCCCCAGAGCACGCTCCAGTGTGGGCTCCAGCCCCAGGGAGGGCTCCAGATCACCAGTCAAGCCCAGGGAGGGCTCCAGATCCCCAGTCAAGCCCAGGGAGGGCTCCAGATCCCCAGTCAAGCCCAGGGAGGGCTCCAGATCCCCAGTCAAGCCCAGGGAGGGCTCCAGATCCCCAGTCAAGCCCCGGGAGGGCTCCAGTCCCCGGTTATGGCCCACGGAGGGCCTCGGAGCCCGAAATCTTCCTCAATCTTCTGAAGTTTTTTTGGGGGGGTAGTAGGGCTCCAGCCGTAGTGGCCGGGATGGGGGCTGGGGCTGGGGCCGCGGCCTCTGAGGCTGCTTTGCCATGGCCTCCTGAACTACCTGCTCCACCGTGGCCTCCTGGGCTGCCAGATCCGCCATGGGTCCCGGAACGGGCGCCGCCCTGGAGGCCTTCCTTCCTGGAACCCTGCTCCTGGAGGCCTCCAGAGCACCCACCCCCCCCTCCCCGTTGGATCTTGTACGGCGCAGGATGCGCCTTCCGGAAGGGGGGAGTTATCTCCTCCCTCGTTCGCGGCCTCTGAGGCTGCTTTGCCATGGCCTCCTGAACTACCTGCTCCACCGTGGCCTCCTGGGCTGCCAGATCCGCCATGGGTCCCGGAACGGGCGCCGCCCTGGAGGCCTTCCGTCCTGGAACCCTGCTCCTGGAGGCCTCCAGAGCACCCACCCCCCCCTCCCCGTTGGATCTTGTACGGCGCAGGATGCGCCTTCCGGGAGGGGGGAGTTATCTCCTCCCTCGTTTCCCTCCTACGCACCGTGACACTCTTCATATATAAAATAATTACAAATATTTTTTTTCTCAAATAAAAATGATCTATTATCATCCATTTATTTGGTGAAAAATACAGTAAAACACAAATTTTGTAAAATATTATTATAATAAAAAAAATAGTTTAAAAGTCTTCAGTGTCACATTTCTTATTATAATCAATGGTAAAAAACAGTTGTGCAGCTTTAAAATTTGTGCAAACTGTGATACATTTTTGATGAATAGAAAGTTCAAAAACACCATTAATTTAAAATAGAAATATTCTGTAACATTATAAAAGTCTTTACTGTCACTTTTGGTCAATTTAATGTCTCAGTGCTAAAGGAAAGTATTAATTTCTTTAAAATAAAAAAACTTACTGAACCCAAACTTTTGAAAAGACAGCAGTGTGAGAAGAACTACATATACACCATTATTTTATGATGTGTGTACAAATTTTACTTATTAATTCTGAATGGACAGGATTTTTAAAAAGTCTGTACAAATTTTTTTTTTCCAGCTGATGTCTTCTATATTTTCTGTAAAGTCTGCTGCGACTCTTACCTGCCCCTGGCTTTAAGGTGTTTGGCTGATGCTCATTAGAGCTTTGTTCACTAGAGAGCACTGATTTCTCCCTTCTGAAATGATGTGTGCCATCTGATGCTGATCTGTGGTACATAAACACACACACACACACACTATATAAAAGCATGTAAGACTAAAAAATTAATCAAAAAACACAGTCGGCTAAGTGGCCCTTTGCAGTGCTACATATACAGCAGCTTTAATGCCATATAAACTGACTCAAACACACACATAGTATAGTTCACATTCAAATCCAGTTTAGCCATGCTGTACACACACACACACAGACCTGAGATAGCGGATCACTCGCATGTCCTCACTGTAGCTCACAGAAAACAGTTATGAAACAAGAATTTATATTATGAAACACACAGGCAGAGAAATGAAGACTTTCACTTCTTATACACAGTAAGTTTACTGTAAAAGAGTAAAATGATGGAAAGCACAGAATCAAGGCTAAGCATTATACTGTAGGTTACATGAGAGAAGCAGACAAAATTATCCTAGAATATCCTACCATATTTTAAAGGCTCTAACTACTATAATTTCCTCCCTTCAATGGGGAACATGAAACAAACATGAAATAAGTGACTTGAAATTCCTCTACAGAGCCTGAAATCATGCACATTTAGCATCAGAAAAAGCAAAATAGTGATTATAGGAGCATCTGAGGATATTCAGCTGAGCCGAACTCACCTGAAGGACAGAGAGCGGACTGAAGCTGCCACCCTGCCCAAAAGAGAATGTCTGTTTTTCTCTTCCTCTTCCTCCTCTCTCTGAAAGTAAGGAATTGATAAGATTGACGAGATGTTTGGAAAAACCCAATGTCGCTGCAGAGAGTGACTCATGTGGCAAGTGTGTCGGCGAGACATTTTAGGTGTGTGACAATGAGTTCATGAGTGCATTTTCATGTTTTGTGAATGATTGTGGTAAGTTTGTAGCATGTATAACAGCTTTTATGTGCCTGTTTCCAATAAGGCTGTGTGCTACCGCCTGTGCTTGGGTTTATTAAACAATACTTTGAGCAATTATATATATATATATATATATATATATATATATATATA